AGCACCAAGTGGTTAAAACTACTTACTAAAACTCAGAAACGGGCGCCTGGGTGGCTCAGTGGGTTAAGCCTCTGCCTTTGGCTCAGGTCATGATCTCAGGGTCCTGGTATCGAGCCCTGCATCGAACCCTGCATCGAGCCCTGCATCGGGCTCTCTGCTCAGCAGGGAGCCTGCTTCCCCATCTCTCTTTCTCTCTGCTTGCCTCTCTGCCTACTTGTGATCTCTCTCTATCAAATAAATAAATAAAATCTTAAAAAAAAACCACCTCAGAAACCGTATAAACACTGATATGCCAGAGACTTGGGGGTTGTTAAAGGCAGCTATGCAGAATTATGTAAAGATTTATGTACCTCTGAAACTTATCAAGAGTCAGAGAGTTAATATTTTATTTTATTATTATTATTTTAAAGATTTCATTTATTTATTTGACAGAGAGAGAGAGAGAGAGAGAGAAAGAGAGAGAACAAGTAGAGGGAGCAGTAGGCAGAAGGAGAGGGAAAAGCAGATTCCTTGCTGAGCAGGGAGCCTGATTTGGATTTGATCTGAGGATCAGGATCGTGACCTGAGCCGAGGGCAGATGCTTAACTGACTGAGCCATCCAGGCACCTCAAAAAGAGAATATTTTAATCTTGGAGTCATTAGGCCACTAGCAAGTACTGTACTAGGACTCTGTCTCTGTTTTGAATCATTTAATGCTATGCTCTTAACCTTTGCTGGGTACACTAAACATTTGTAACTGTCCATATACATGTCTCATGGGACATTGCAGAAGGCACATCCTCTTCACATCAATCTCCAACATGCTATGGGACTTTAAAATCAACTTTGGAGAATCCATACTTTATAAAATTATCTTATTCATCTCAGAATAGAAAACCTTAAGGTTTTATTCACAACACTGGATTAAGATAGACACACAAATTTGTTAAAGTTTATGATAAACAACCTGGTATCTGCTTCTGGTACTTATAACTATATTAAAACTACAAATTTTGAGGAGTTTTTTTGGCAACTAACAATAGGAAGATTTACATCTATAGAGTTCTGAGATGTAAGATATATTTACTGTAACATAAAACTTCATGTAGTCACTGAAAACATGTATTTTATCGTTACCCTTTAGTATATAGTCTGCTTCTGATCTTAAGAGAATTTCACTTTTCTTACTGCATTTATGTGAAAAAAAAGTGAGTTCCCAAGAGTACAAGCAATTTTTCTACATCCGGTGAGGGGTAGAACTCAGACCCAATTTGAACTTGTCATACTGCCTGCCAAACTGACATCTTCCGACATCCCTGACGGCACCATCATTCTCCTGATCACCCAGGATCAAGATGTCAGTCTTTCTGGATGTGTCCCTTTCTCTAACTTCCCATATTAAATCCCTCTCCAAGGGAAGACCAATCCTGCAGATCTCCTCTTGAGCTCTTTCTTATACCTATCCCATCCTCCCTATTCCACTGCCACCAACATCATTTATACTCCTATGATTGAAGCAAAGGCTTGAGGTCAAGGAGTGTATGTATACACTTGCCTTGGGCATGTCTCCTCCTTGGGGTGGTGGTAGTGAAGTGAGGTGAAGAGATATAAGAGAATGAGGTGTTTGGGGTCCTGGGCCTGAGTCCATGCCATCTCACTCTGTTTCTCTCTACCCCTCATGTTAAACATGACTTACAGAACCTGGGAAACTTGGTGTCAGCACAGTATACTTATTTGCTGTTGCCAGTCTCCTTTTCTTAGGAGAGTAGCAGAACATCTGATTCAGAGAGCTCTTTGAAAGGTTGCCTTCTCCTTTGGGCAAGGGAACCAAAGACCAACTGACCATCTAAGCATTCTTAACTCAGCTTTATTTTACCTAGAAATAAGGAGAATACTGTGCTGAGGAGAATGGGGTTACTTCTCCTTAAGAAATAGTTGTAGATTTTGGTGTTGGATAGAGAAGGAATCCAGGTCCAAGATGTGCTGACTCCAGCTGTGGTGCATCCTCTTAGGGTGTGTCTATGAATCCCATCACCTATGTAGCTCACATAAGGGGTCTTTTACTTCTGTGGAAGATTGCTCCTGAAAGAGACTCCTTCCAAGGAGATGGGAGTTTAAGTGACAAAAATCTCAAGAAACCTGGTTAATTTATTCAAAATATGAGTGCAGAAGCTGATAATTCAGCCATTCTTTGAACATAAACTTTATTGTGTAGAACACTTATCATATTATAATGATTTGTTTACTTGTCTCTTCTCTGCCTGGATTCAAGTTCTGGCTGTGACAATGACTAGCTGTGGGCCATGGGTAAGCTATTTAACTGTGCTATGCTTCAGTCTCCACACCTATGCAAAGTGAGGATAGCACCTACCTCACAGAAGATTATGAAGATTAAATTGTGAATTTAAATTCACAATGTGAAATTAAATTGTGAAGATTAAATGTGTGAACTTAGCTTTCCCTCCCTAGGACCTGGTACCATGCCTGACTCATGGGTACTCAGTAATTATCTGTGAATTATTTTAGTAGCAAAATTTTCTGTAAACTTCTTTGGAAGGCTGATCTTAAAGAATTTCTTTGTTGAATTACAAACTAAGTTTCTGGAGGAGAATTTGGCCAAAAGATACTATTAGTCAGATGGAACCGAAGATAAGATCTGTCTGTAAAGAGAAGTTGAAACCAGATAAATGTTTTGAATATTTTATGACTTGTGAAACATTAGGATATCTCCATTCTCACATTTGGGTGGGTTCTTGGACTTGCCTTCTGTGTCACATCCAAGATGGCTAGAAGTTGATTTGAATTTCCTCCCATAAAGTGTGGACTTTGGGTACTAGACACTTTTTGTTATCTTACTTCCCCAGGCATGGTCTCCCTCTAATATCCCAAGCATTTGGAGCTCGTATCCTTCATTGGACATGCTAGTTCACATTGTCTTAGGACATTTAGGGTGGACATGGTTTGTCATTTACTTATTATAGGTTCACTTTAAATTTTAGTTGGATGTAGCTTTTGCTGGAGAAGGACAGAGTCTTATTTTTCTTTCCCTCTTAGGAACATGTAAGAATGGTGAACTGTTTGCTGATTGATAGGTCTAAAATTATGTTTGTTCCACATGTTTAGAAATGTCATTTCTGAAAGGGAAGGTGTTGAATAGTCTTCTCTGGAGATCTTTAAAAATAGCAGTGTTTCTCACCTGATTGGGGTATGGAAGGGAGGTTTGGGGAGGCGCGAAATGGCTTCTGCTTCTGAAGTTGGAATTATTTGAACTTTAGTTTGAAAGCACACTTGAAAATCACGTTTTAAAATGACAGGATATTCTATGGCAGGCTAGTCTATTCAGGGGATAGGGCTGGGTTCAGGCCAGACATGCAGGAACATGAAAAGAGGTACTTTGGTTCAGAAACCAGAAAAGAAGGGTAGAGGGCAACGATAAAAGCAAAAGCACCAGGTCTCAGGCAAGACGGTAGGCATTATTTGGCATTGCAAGGCCAATTAAATGGGTCTGACTAAGAAGAGATATAATAGTTTTCTGTCACTACCATTGTAATATTGCACATGTGAGGCTTAAATCAACACACGTTTGTTCTCCAGGTCATTAGTCAGGTATAAGACTCACCCAGCTAAAATGAACTTCTCTATCCGAAGTCTCACCGGCATCTCAGACTTAACATGTCCGCAGCGGAGCTTCTGCCTTTTAACCCGAAGCTGCTTTTCCTCCTGTCTTCTTCATCTCATCAAATACCAGTTCTATTCTGGAACTGCTCATGTCAAAAACTGTGGACTCGTCTTCAACTCCTCTTTCTCATAAGCCCCAGTCAGCAAATCTAGTTTGCTCTGCCTTCAAAATTATGTAATCAGTCTGATTATTTCTCACTGTCTGTAGTTTGGATTCTTGTGGTAGCATTTTTTTTTTTTTTTTTGGTGGTAGCATTTTAAACTGGTTTTGCTTCCTCTACTCCTGTCCCATTTTAATGTATCCTTAGCATAACAGCCACAGAGATCTGCTAACGTGAAAGCAGAATCTGTCACTCTGCTCTTCATAGCCGGTTGGCCCATTTTACTCAGAATCAAAGCCAAATACCTTCCAGTGGCCTAACAGGGCAGGCAGGCCTGTCACTCTGGCCCCACAGGGCTCTTCAGTGATGTCACTTGTCTACCACATAGGCCATTTAGAGCAGTACAAAATTTCCTACCTGCCTGTAGCCAAGGGTCATCCTTGGTTGAGGAGACAGACTTGGGGTCAAATAGGGACACCGGTTCTTCCACATTTTCTGGTCTACCCAGCTTTCTTCCAGTCCCACTGTGACAGCCCCAAGTCTCAGTGGAGGGGCTTTTCCTGTCTAACTTAAAAGGTTGATAGAAAGATGTTTCCTGACAGGGTTCCATGCTCCCCAAACCAGGGACAAGCCCTAGGGACATTTCTGGTTCTGCTGCTCTTGTACACAGTCAGCCCAGTAACGGATGCAGCTGGTGCTACTGAACTACAAACCAGTTGCTGGGGTTTGCGGAAGGGGCAGGTATTCTTAGAGAAAAGGGATGGAAGGGAGTGGTTCCTATTTTATGTTAACGACATCAGTCTTCCAGTCTTCCAGACATCTTTCTGCTCAATTGGCCACACTCCTGGAGATTTTGTGCAGGAAACAAGCATCTTTGCAAACAACTGTTCCTTGCTGTTAATTCAGCAGCTGGTAATAAGGTGAAGGCAGACAAAGCCTTTCCTTAAGGGATGTCAGAGTAGGCTCAGTGAGGTATGAACCCTCATGCCTCCTCTTGCACTGTGCTTGCTACCTAGAGGGTTCAGTGCATGCTTATTGTACTGAAATATTTTTTTAAAAGTTAATGAACATCAAGCTGAAATCAGTCACATACAAATAACATCTAGATGACACATCACTTACTATTACTGGGATTCAATATCAGAATAACCAAAGGAACTAAGAGGGGGCTAGGATAGTCCATGGGTCTTTTAGGTCATCAAGGTGGCAGTGGGGTTGATGTGTTTTGCTTTTGTCTGATAGGTCATTGCTTGTGAGCAGCAGTATGACTCTTCCTATGACGCTCGGTGTGACGTCTGGTCCTTGGGGATCACAGCTATTGAACTGGGGGATGGAGACCCTCCCCTCTTTGACATGCATCCTGTGAAAACGCTTTTTAAGATTCCAAGGTAGGACACAAGATGGCGCTCTTGGCTCATTAGTTCTTTGTGAAAGAGGCTGGTTAAGAGAAATAATAAATAGTTCGTGAACAATTTCTGGCCAAACCAGAGAAAGCCTGATTATAAAATGTATTTCTCTTCTGGGAAAATAGGGGGAGTGGAGGAGGAAAGAGGATAGATGTTCCTGAAAGACAGCATATCCCAAGAAAATAGGACGTGTTGTAACCATTGCATGTATTTTCAGTACTTTGATTTTTCTGAAATACTCCTTTATTGTGCTTTGTACCAGAGGACTAAAATGCAATTTTGGATTAAGTAATCTGTTTACATACTAGGGTTTTCTTTTTAATTATATAATCACATCTGGTCATTTTGTTTGTTTGACTCTTTCTCAAATATTCAGGAAAATTTGGGGATGAAAAAGTGAGTATTATATTTTCATATCTACTCAGAGCAGCACTAAAAAAAATATCAGAAAAGTAAATCAGTTAAAAGACCTTCTCTCAAAAAAAAAAAAAAAAAAGACCTTCTCTCCATCCCGATTTCCATCTCAATGGGACATTGTGCTGAAAGAGGTCCGTTTGGAGGTCATTTAAATGCCAGTATATTTTCTATTGTATGTATTCATAAGAGGTTTGTGCAAGAGGTTTGGTTGTTTGTTTTTCATCGGAATCGGGCTTCTGTTTGGCTGCTTAAGCTTCTGGTTACCGAAAAAGAAGCAATCAGGGAGCTCTGTCCTGGCCGGGTTGCAGATTAAGAGATTTATACTCTCCGAAAACATTTCTCTCTCAAAGGAAGACTCTGGGCGGGCTCACTACTTTAACAATGCAAGTGTTAACCTTTCCTTATCTGTACAATCACACAGCCTTTAAAAATTTCGCCTGATTGCAATTTGCATTTCTGATTAGGTCTATTTATATGCAGATGAGGCTCTGTGGCGTTCATCATCATAATGTTATCGTTTTATACCTAATCCAGATGTGAACAACCACCCACCATTAGTCCAAAAATGATTCCACCCAACTCAGGGTTGGTCAAACAAGTCCAGGCAATTAGAAGAACAGATAAAGCGACTGACTTTTAAAATTAATGGTCTGGTGATCATTCAAAACGATGTAAGAATGCAGGACCGAAACCAGTATTGTATGCAGTAATATGTCAGAAAATGAGAAATGGTGTCTGGGATGATTTGTATATGTGCTTTGATTTTTACAAATCATTTACTTTTCACAGTTTATTTACTGAGACCACATAATTTCCCAAAGAGCAGAATTAAGTTGTGGCTTCTGATTAGCAAGATAGTACTTTTGATAAGAGATCATCTACTTGGGTGTATTTTTTTCTTTCTGTTTTTTAACATGTGTTTGTGTACAGACCACCTGTTCAAAAATTTCATAGGGTGGTAAATGTGAGGCAGCTTAGAAGGGCTATGTGAGTGTGTTTGTGTGTGCACGCACATGCGTGTGCATGTTGAAATAGACTTTGTCTCGGTTGACTCCTCTGAGCTTGCTTCTGTGCAGCCAAGTCTCTGGTCCCTAGTAATCTCTGCATCCCACTTCTTCCATCTTGGGAGAAACTTCCAGATCTGAAACACAAATAACCAACCCCCCACTGCCTGCTTCCAGACAGGGTGAACCCCAGGAACAAGACAATTGCTAGAAAAAGATCTCAGGGGTAACAAGGATTCTTATCCAAACATAGCTTGAAACTTTGTTTTTCTCCTCCTAATGTAACCTCCTGCCCTTTTACAACATCTCTTGGTTCCTGCCCAAGTGATGAGTCAGATTGAACTAGGTAATGTCAACAATAATCAGTCAGCAGATCCTTAGTGTGATTATATGTGCTGAACCCTTGCCATTGTCCCAACCTTAACAGTCAACTTGACATTCCCTGGGCAGGAAGGATAGAGGTGTTTTGTGTTTTGTTGTTGTTGTTGTTGTTGTTGCTGTTTTTTAATGTAGCATAATTGCATACACTGCATAGCTTTTTATACTCATTAAGTTATTTACTTAAAAATTACCCTGAGAATTAGAATCATGCAGTTCTCTTACAAAGTATTGTGAATTGACAAAGCGCATGTGTGTGCACGCTATTTTAATTTTGAGTGCTAAAAATGTACATTTCCTCAGAAAATCTCTCCGATAGAGAGGAAAAATTAAGCATTTATGTATTTTAAATAGGCACTCAGATTTACCTGTGTGCTTCATGGGGTTCTCTCTCTCTCTCTTTCTTTCTCTCATTCGATCAGCATTTTCTTCCCTGATGGAGAAAAGAAAATGGCAAGTAACGACAAAAATCCTTTGAATCCGTTTGACTTCTAATTTTTTTTCCTCTTTGGTTATGAGTGTTTTAGGTATTCTGGAATTCCCTTCAGGTAAGCAGTGAGGTCCATTTCAGAGTATTCTGGGATCCAGAACACTGTATGTGGCTTCTTGGCACTGTATGTGTCTTTCCTCACTTGCCTCTTCCTTTACAACCTTCTTTACCAGTAATAAACTGAGTAAATTACCAAAATAAGGGAAGAAAAGAAACCCTTTACTGAGTAAGGGAAGACCTGACTTTCACAAGTTACAAAGGACTTAGGAATTAATGAAGTGTTGCTTGCATGTGAGGTGAGAGCCTCAGATGTCAACAAAGCAGATAATTACATAGGTTACCTGGACACTGTCAGGAACTATGAAGCGAGACCTGCCTGGATGTGGTTAACTTGCCTGCACCCAGGTCTCCTTGCTCTTCCCTTCTCTGCTTCCATTTCTTTTGGAGCACCTTCCCCTTTCTTTTGACCTTCATGTTAGAAGTTGACACATGGAGTAATCGTGACCTGTCTTTGAAATACTGCGTGACTCACTGTCTTTCTCACATCGCAAACACACAGAAATTATCTGCTGTTATGACAGCACCCGCTATTTGCTGAACCTGTCAGCGTGTGTCATCTTGTCTAATGCCTTTGCTCCAAAAAAAGTCACCGCTCTCTGACAGTTGCTGCTCTGTCTGCTGCTATTTTTCTCTAGGAGTTAGAGGAGAGGCAAAGAATGAAAACCATTTCTCTGGGCATCCGTGGATTTGACACCATCTCTCTGATGACTCTCCTGAGGACTCCTTTAAAATTTCAAAGGCTTAGAAGGATCTTGCAGATGACCTGGACATATTTTTTAAAAATTTTTAATTAACATATAATGTATGACTTGCCCCAGGGGTACAGGTCTGTGAATCATCAGGTTTACACACTTCACAGCACTCACCATAGCACATACCTTCCCCAATGTCCATAACCCAACCACCCTCTCCCTACCTCTCCTCCCCGCCCCCCCCAACCTTCAGTTTTTTTTGTGAGATTAAGAGTCTTTTATGTGTTGTCTCCCTCCCGATCCCATCTTGTTTCATTTATTCTTTTCCTACTCCCCAAACCCCCCATGTTCCCTCTCAACTTCCTCATATCAGGGAGATCATATGATAGTTGTCTTTCTCTGATTGACTTATTTCGCTAAGCATAATACCCTCTAGTTCCAGACCTGGATGTATTTTTCACTTAAAAGGAGATCTGTTTCATAGATGTGATTGCAACAACCCATAGAGTTGGGAGAGGATCTTTATCTCAACATATACATTTATGTTGCTCTCTTGGCAATCAGATAGCTTTCCTTAGCTTAGAATCTTTGGCTAATGACCTCTTTGACCTCCATAGATGGGAGTCAGAAGGGTAGTGGGGACCAGTGCGAGTGTATTTATTGGACACCATCTAAGAGCCCTATTGCTTGCCCATTTATTTGGGGCCAGATAGAGGCTGATTCTGTCCACTGTCTTACCACACATCAAGTATTTCCACTTCATTCCTTGTGGAAAAATGCAGAATGTTTTCAGGGTTCCTAGCCAAATGTCTTTGGCTGGGAGTAGATGGGACAGAATGGCCTGAACATTCCAGTCTCTGAAGCCAGTGATTTTCCCTTCCTAAAGAGAAGTTTCCCTACAGTATGCTGAAAAAAGAACCTCATGATAATTACCAGCTCATGTTTGGGCTTGTTTTCATCGCCAAACTTAGGTTGTTCCAAACTATACCCAAACTGTACATTATTTTCCTAAGACTGCACAACAAATTGCCACAAATTTGGTGGTTTAAAACAATACAAATGTATTCTGTCACAGTTCTAGAGACCAGAAGTCTGAAATTAAAATGATGGCTGAGCGATGCTCCTTCTGAAGGCTCTAGAGGAGCATTCTTCCTTGCCCCTTCCAAGTTCTGGTTACTTCTGGTATTCTTTGATTTGTGGCAGCAGAATCCCAATCTCTGCCTCCATTTTCATGTGGCTTTCTTCTCTGTCTCTTGATGTCTTCTTGTCTGTCATGTCCTAGAAAGATACTTGTTACTGGTTTAAGAAAACCCATCCTAATCCAGAATGATCTCATTGCAAGACCCTTGTCTTAACTACATCTGCAGAAGATTTTTATCTCAAATGAAGACACATTCTCAGGCTCCAATTGGATAATCTTCTGGGAGCCACAGTTCAACCCACTATACCATCAACTTTCATGTTTTCTAAATTCCCTGAGAAACTAATTTTGGGTAGAATCTAGGTAGCTAGCTAAATGATGATAGAAAAATAGTAATAGCTTAGATTGTGGCTAGCGTGGTGCTATGTGTTTCACGAATATAAATGCATCAATCCCTACAGTGACCTTGTGAGGTAGAGACCATCACCACCCTTTTTTTTCTTGAGGAGAAAACTGGAAGCCCAGGGAGAAAGCCCCTGTTTATGCACCCAGGAGGAAAATGGTTTGAATCTGAGAACTTTGACTCCAAAGCCCACATCTTTTACAGCTACAGCTGATTCTTGCACAGCAGTGGCACCAACCCTCTGCGGTTGAAAATCTGTATTTAATTTTTGAGTCTCCCAAAACAGAACTACTTATAGCCTACTATTGACTGGAAGCCTGACAGATAACTTAAACAGTCAATTAAAACACATTTTGTATGTTATATGTATTATATACTGTATTCTTACAATAAATCA